TTATCCCCCCCCACACCCTGTCTGTCCATCAGGACCTCTCTTGTTAGCCTCATTAGTCTCCTCATCGGGAAGCACCAATCCCCCTCGCTGCCCTTCTCTTCCCCTTCTCCATCCTTTCAGCACTGGGCACAGCTCAGGAGGGGTCCACCATAGTGTCAGGCAAGTTGGGGTCACATTCACCCATGTACCTCAGCTTCCACTGATCTACACCGGATTTCATCTGCCACTCATTCAATCGGGGCAGGTCCTGCTGCAGCGACCCACAAGCCCCTGAGTCTTTGGGAGCTCATTGGCATCTGTGGAAGCCCAAGAGCGTGAGCCAGGCTCCACCCTGGGCCCTTATCACAAGGAAGAAGCTCGGAACAGGTAATAAGAGCCAAGGTCACAAGGAGGTGCACAAGGCGTTGCCAGGAATCTCGCTCCTCATCTCCCACGTCTCCCAGGAGCAGGGCGTTGGCCAGGCCACGGGGGCCTCTCATGGCATCCAACCCCGTCTCAAAGGTGGCAGGGTTCCCTCTCAGGGCGTGTCCACCACCGCTGTGGCCATGCATCCATTTAGGTGACTTTCGATGCCACCGACCCCCAGGTCAAAAGAAATGGGCTCTGCTTGGGGACGTGCTTCTGAAGACAGAAGACAATGGAGTAGCTCCTCCCAGGAGTGCTCAATTGCTGGCTCTGGCATCAAGCATGGAGAAACCACGGCCAATTGGGCAAGGAGCCGTTGGACGGTGGTTGCTTCGTTAGGCCAGCGGTCATTAGAATGATGTGGACCTCCTTCCCTCTTGCTCTCAATCCAGATTGCTACAAGGCAACAGAGCTGGGAGAGAGGAAAGCCTTTCTAAATGGTCTGCACCAATGAATATGAAATGCCTCTGCTCGGTCTCATCTTCTTGCCCCCAAACATTGCTCAAAGGCATGCGGCTCCATGCAAGCCCACCCCGGCCTTTGGAAGCCCCTTTCCCCCTTCATTCTGCTGCTCCCAGCCAAGACACATTGTATCCTGCAGCATGTCACAGGCAAGAGAGTCTGGTAAACCATGCTGAGAAGCTGCACTGAAGGCCTGCCCTGGGGGATGCTGGGACCTGGCTTCCCAGGGAAGGTTTGAGATGGTGGAGACTGTAGAGGAGGAGACCCATGGTGGCGGGGAGGGGTTTGGTCACCATTTGCCCCCTTGCCCCCCCACCGGCCAGTGGTTCTGCTGGGGGTGGAGATGGATGACCCCATGGCTGGACCTGGAAGTCCGCAGCAGGGAGAACAGGGCAGGTGAAGAGAGAGGCAGGGATCATGGGGTGCTCACTCCCCCAGGAAGGGCATTGACATCTTGCCTTATTGCACTGCACCTGCTTCCTGGTCATCTCTGCACCCCAGAGGCATTAATGACCCCCCCAACCTTTTTTAGCACCAATCAAACTCGTTTTCCTCCTGCCACCCTGCTCCTGCTCACGTTGCCCCTAGGTCCCAGCCCTGGCACCTGATCTTGACTTGAGCCATGATCATAAAATCAGGGGTGGAAACCTTGACTCAGGGGTCGAATCGTTAACCCAAGGGTCAAATTGTTGACCTGGGTGTGGAAACACTTCCCTGGAATTCTCCAGATGCACTGTCATCCAGGAAGGGCTGAGGGCTTCCATTGACGTCATGGCCCATTGCACTCCCCAACTTCCTGCTCATCTCTCTACTCCAGAGGTGTTAACGACCCCATCTCCTTTTTTAACACACAGGTGCTAATGACCCTCCCCTCCATTGCTAATGACCTTGACGGTTCCACTAATCAGGTCAGGCTGTGCCCTGCTGTGGCCTGCTCCTGGCCACATAGCTCCTGCCTCACAGTCTGGTTTCAGCCCCTCAAAAACCATTCAGCCATGGTGGGCATGGTAGCTCAGGGGTGAAGACTCCTCTTGGGGTAGCACCGGAGGCCCTGCCCTGACTCTCCAGGAGGCTGCATTGGGTTTGATGCCTCAGGGGTCAACAGGGGAAAACACCAGCACTGGGGTCCGTGTCCTTCTCCTGTGTTCCGGCCGACACGGCACATAGATGTTTACCGTCACGCCAGTCGCCCATGTTATAGCCGGGCCCCAGGCTACTGGCTCCGCACCAAAGCATCTAGTTTCATTTTCCCTGGATAAATGTTTGCATTGTTATTGGGAATAATTCTTATCTGCCCCAGCTGCCCCCCCCCCTTCCATGCCCCTGCCGTGCCCCATTGGGAAAGCTGGCAGGTGTGTAGGCCCCACACCTTCCACCTCAAGGCCAAGGTGCTCCTGATATAGACTCGTTATCAGGGCTCTGTGACGAGGATCAGGCCAGGGGGTTAAGTCCACAGATGTGCCTTATTTGGTGGCTTTCCAGCCTCCCCCACTCATGGGGCTTGGACCTTTGCTGGGGTCTGGGGGACCTCAGCATGCAGGGATGTCGACCCTGGAGGCCTCCCCCAGGCCACATCCCCCTTCATTTTGCAGGGGAGAGGGGGGAAATGGGGGTCTCTGGTGGGGCAGGATCA